CCAGGACCATCTCTGCCAGGTAGAAGCAGGCCATGTCTTCAGGCAGACGGTCCTCAAACTTGCTCAGCAAGGTGAGTAGGTCTCCTCCGGCGTAATAATCCATCACCAGATACTGGCAAAAGAATCACCAACCTCTAGCATCCCTTCCCAACCTGTGTTCTGCAAGTGTGGACTTCAACTCCCAGAATCCCCCGGTCAGCGAGGTGCTTGCTGAGAATTCTGGGAGCTGAAGTTCACACCTTCCCTTAGATTGGGGAAGGTGAGGTGAACACAGAAGCCTGCGTGGCCCATTAACTGAATGAACTGAAGCCGTTTCCTCCCTGACTTTCAGATAATGGCGGCTTCCGAGGACGTTTTGCTCCAAAATCTCACCTAGTGGAGAGACTGCAAAGCCCAGCATCCTCAGCCTGCACTGCCAACAGAATTGTGGGATAATATTTGTACATGGGTCAGAATGTAGAATAGTGTTCTCAATCTGGGAAGCTTTAAGACAGGTGGACTTCAATTCCCAGAATTGTGCTGGCTGGGGAATTCTGGGAATTGAAGTCCCCCCACCTTCCCTCTCCTGTCTTAAAGTTGCCCGGATTGAAAAAACACTGGTGAGGAAAATCAGCCTTTGCCAATCCCTTATTTTCACCTTAGGTTCACCTGGTTACCTCAGGCTGCATTTAGAACCTGAAGCTAGTGGCCTTTTCAGGTTTCTAGTCCATTGTGAAGAAAGATGCTACAAATCAAACTGCTGAGCCATTCAATTGTTACTAGATTTACTGACTCTATGTTCTTCCAAAGACAGACCACATTTTGGGGAGCAGGACATCAAGAGACTCCTTTTTTTAGAGTTGAATGCTAGAATTGGGCAGTTATAATCAGTGGGCAGAGAGGTGACAGGTGAATTTTCTGAAATTTTCCAGAGAAATGACAATTTTTCCAGCTCTTTTAGCAGCAACACCACAAATGCTCCTGATTGGAAGGGTTGGGCTTGAGAGAGGATGTACCATGGAAGAAAAGACATTCACCCTCACATGCACAACACCCTCGTTCACATGTAACCACATAGCTAAATCTCTATGCTTGCAAGATACAAGCAATTGGCTGAATGCACATTTTTTCCTTTTTTTTAATTCAAAAGATTAAAATTCAAAATCCAAAATAAAAAAAACATTGAACAAAGACGAAACAAAACTAGACAAGAACATTAAAAAAAATGTGTATTGAAAAGAACAAAAATCAAAAACCCTTATTATCCCTCTTAGTTGAACATTAACAAATCTGTTGCAACAATCATAGCTTCCATCGCTTTGAAAGGAGGTCCAAAATTTTACCAGCTTCTACATCGATTGGCACCTGACATTCTTGATTCACACCACACACAAAACTTGTAACTTGGAACCCAGGCTAGGTTTAATGCGTCATGTGAATGGAGGAAATCAGGTTTGCAAAGCAAACACCCAATTCAGAGGCCAAAATGAGGCCAAAAGCCATTGCACAAAGCACCTTTCTCTGATCACTTTGTCCCCATTCTCCACCCCAGAGAAGAAAACCACCAATGCCAGTTCCCAACAGATCGACATCCGAGAGGAAACCCAGTTCAAAATTTCCTGCCCCATAGGATTCGAAAACGTGTCCCGTCTTACCAGGTAGTGCTCGTCCTGGAAGGCGTAATGCAACGTGGTAATCCACTGCCGATCTCCGTGCACGAGGACATCTCGTTCCTCTCGGAAACAAGCCGTCTGAAAGGAGACAGGTACAAAACGTGGCACTGGGTGCAAATCTCTGCTTACACCTTACCCCTCTGCTATCCAGGTGCAGACAAAGTGTACAGGTAGTCCTTAACTTACGACCACATTTGGGACTGGAATTTTGACTGCAAGTCAGTGTGGTCGTAAGTCAAGGATGATTTGTCATGATGCGGTCGTTAGGTGGAACAGTCAAGTGGGACATCACGTGAATGTGACTTGCAACCTTCCCTGTCAGCTTCCCCATTGACTTTGCTGATCGGAAACTGGCTGGGACAGTCACAAGCACTATAAAATATAAAATGTTAATATGAAAGCAATTGATGAATAACCTTAATAAACTAATAAAATCACCTTAATAAATTTGAATTATGAAAATAATTCTTTGGATCCTTGGTTAGTATTTGAATTATTAAGTTTTCACCAGTCTTCGATTGTGAATCTAACTGTTTGTTACCCACAATAATCATTTAAATTTATATGCTGACTCTCGATAACTCTGCATGGCTCACAACAAAGAAAGAAATTACAATAATTTAATTTTAATTCGAAGAAGAGCTGGGTCTTGGTTGACGTCCCCTTTTCCCCGTCTTCCTACAACCAACCAGCCCACCGGATGGCTGAGAAAGTTTCTGGGTTTATGAAACGAAGGAATCAATGAAAATTAGAGGGCAGCCGGGGATCCAAAAAACGGCCAGATTCCATATCTGTCATTTTCTTGACAATGGCAGAAAAATGCTTTCCTACTGCCTTTCTCCAGCTGCTTTTCCGGGCTAGCTTAGTGATCTCCTAGTGGTCTCCCATCTGAGGTCTAACCCTAACGTTGAAATCACTTTTTTTGACTTTGGCAGATGGGATTTCATGGCAAGGGAATCAGCACCTCAGCTCTTTTCAGCATTTCCCATTTATGCAGGATCTTCATGGCGTAAATTTTCTCCGTCTGCCTCATCCGCACGACGGCCACCTGGGGGGAGAGAGCAGGACAGAGATGGGGGGGCAGAATAAGAATGCAGAATCATAGAATAACTGAGCTAGAGGGGACCTTGGAGGTCATCTACTCCAATCCTGTGTTGGAGACTGTATACCATTCTGGATAATTATTTTTTTTAAAGACCTCAAGTGTTGGAGTGCCCGCAACTTCTGGTGGCCAGTTGTTCCACCGATTAATTGTTCTCACTGTCAGGAAGTTTCTTCTTAGTTCCAGATTGTTTCTCTCCTTGATTAGCTTGAATCCTCAAATATTAGAAGAAGGCTATCATGTCACTCTTTCATTAGACTAGACAGACCCAATTCCTGCAACTGTTCTTCATGTGTTTTATCCTCCAGTTCTCATCTTTGTTGCTCTTCTCTGTACTCTTTACAGAGTCTCAACATCTTTTTTTTCTATTAGGGTCATCAGAATTGGACACAATATTCCAAGTGTGGTCTGAGCAGTGCAGTATAAAATGGTGCTAGCATTTCATATGACCTTGATCCAATTAACAATTAACTAGTAAACAATTAATCAGTGGGAAGGCTTGCTTTCAGAAGTTGTGGGTGCTCCATCACTGGAGGTTTTCAAGAAGAGACTGGACAGCCATTTGTCCAAAATAGTACAAGGTCTCCTGCTTGAGCAGAGGGTTGGATTAGAAGACCTCCAAGGTCCCTTCCAAACTCTGTTCTTCTGTTACTATCCCTTTGCTGATGCAACCTAGGACTTTGTTTCGGTGGAACCAGATTCTGCCCCTGTACAAATACCCCAGCCACCAATAGTGGGAAGATATAGTCTAATGAAGAGAAGGACAAAGGGCAACATGATAGCAGTGTTCCAATATCTCAGGGGCTGCCACAAAGAAGAGGGGGTCAAGCTATTCTCCAAAGCACCCGAAGGCAGGACAAGAAGCAATGGATGGAAACTCATTAAGGAGAGAAGCAACCTGGAACTAAGAAGAAATTTCCTGACAATGAGAACAAGTAATCAGTGAAATGACTTATCCTGAATAGAATAGAATAGAATAGAATAGAATAGAATAGAATAGAAGCTGGAAGGGACCTTGGAGGTCTTCTAGTCCAGCCCCCTGCTCAGGCAGGAGGACCTATATCATCTCAGACAAGTGACTGTCTAGCCCAGTGGTTCTCAACCTTTTTAATGCCGCGACCCCAACCGGTCGTAAGTCGAGGACTAAACCAGTCGTAAGTCGAGGACTAAACCGGTCGTAAGTCGAGGACTAAACCGGTCGTAAGTCGAGGACTACCCAACCGGTCATAAGTCGAGGACTTTCCCTGCCCGGGAGCGCCGCGCATGCGTGGTTCCGCCCCCTGCGCCGGCTGAGGCGTAGCTGGCAAGCGGCAGAGACGGAGCAGGCCGACCACCAGCTGGCCCAGCCCAAGGGAGGTAAGGCACCCGCCGGAAAAGGGGGAAAAAAATGGCGGACAAAAAAATGGTGGACAAAAAAAATGGCCGACAGCCTTGCTTGGCGACCCCCATGAAATGGTCGATCGACCCCAAATGGGGTCCCGACCCACAGGTTGAGAACCACTGGTCTAGCCCCCAACCTTTTGAGCACCAAAGACCGGTTCTGTGGATGGAGGTTTTTCCGTGGACCAGAGGGTGTGTGGTTCCGTGTGCTGTCTGTATCCACTGAATGGGGCTTCACTTGTTTGTGCCACTCAGTTGCTGGTATGCCATGGCCAGGTGCCGGTCCATGGACCAGGGGTTGGGGATCCCTGGTCTAGCCTCTTCTTAAAAATCTCCAGTGATGGAGGCTCATGAAGTTGAGACTGCTCCATCATTGGAGGTTTTGAGAAGAGACTGGACAGCCATTTGTCCAAAATAGTACAAGGTCTCCTGCTTGAGCAGAGGGTTGGACTAGAAGACCTCCAAGGTCCCCTCCAACGCTGTACTTCTGTTTTTCTGATACTATCCCTCTGTTCACGCAACCTAGGACTTTGCTTCGGTGGACCCAGATTCTGCCCCTCTGCAAATACCCCAGCCACCAATAGTGGGAAGATCTTGGTCAGTGTTTCTGCTTAGGACATTGCATGAACCCAGCCAGATCTAGTGCACAGTGCAAGGCCAGAAAAAGGAGTACAGGTAAGTCCTCAACATATAACCACAATTGAGACTGGTATTTCTGTTGCTAAGCACGATGGTTAAGTGAATCAGGCCCGCTATTATGATTATGATTATTATTATTTTGCCATGGTTGATAAGCGAATCATTGCAATTGTTAAGTAAATCCAGCTTCCGCCCATCACGTTGCGTGTCGGAAGCTGGCTGGGAAAGCCGTAAATGATGATCAAATGAATCCAGGATAAGGCAAATGTCATAAATCGTAGGCCAGTCGCCAAGTGCCCCAATTTGGATCATGTGATCATGGAGGACGCTGTGACAGTCATAAGTGTGAGGATCATTATTAAGTCACTTTTTGCAGTCCCGTAACAACGTTGAATGTAAAGCAAGTCAGGCCATAGTGTGAATGCAAGCATCTCTTGACATGGCTTGGGGGTACCCCAAAGTGCCTCCAGAATGAGCTATGGCTTTAAATCCCCCACTTCCGGGACTCACCTCACCAAAGGCTCCTCTCCCGATCACCTTCAGGATCTCAAAGTCCTCACGACGCAAACTCAGCTGTTTCGCACGGGCAACCAACGGGGAGGCTTGAGAGAGAAGAAATTAAAAAAAACCAAAAACTTGTTTTACGGAGTCGTTCGCCACAATGGCACCAGCTGAAAACCTGCTGAACCGGATGCATTCAAGATCCAGCCATTCTGCGTGTCAAGCTTGATTCATTTTAAACTTGGTTAGTTTTTTCTGTAGCCCGTTTGGTGCTTGGGTGACTCAGGCGCCCCCAAAAGAGAGTTAATTCTTGTGCTCACATAAGGAACTTGCCAGGCCCAGCTAAAAAACTTCTAAGTTTGTTCTAATTTTTACATCGGTTTTTAAAGTTTGCCTGCTTCACATAATAAAGTTATCCTGGCTATTGGTTGCTCCGGCTTCACACAAATGCAAGACCCAGTTCTTCAGACTAACCAAGCCCTGGTTTTCTTGGCAGCAACATGGAACGGATTTGCCCGTTGCTTTCTTCTGGGAAGGGCTGTTTTTGCTTTGTGGAATACACAGCCTAGCTCATATCCAGGTGATCGCCTGGTGGCCTCCGCTCCAAATCCCTTTCAATCCTTAGCTACATTTGGTTTGGCTACTCTAAAGAAAAGAAAAAAGAGGGGCGACATGATAGCAGTGTTCCAGTATTTGAGGGGCTCCCACACAGAAGAGGGGGTCAACTTACTTTCTAAAGGACTAGAAGACAAGACAAGAAACAATGGTTGGAAACTGACCAAAGAGAGAAGCAACCTGGAATTAAGGAGAAACTTCCTGACAGGGAGGACAATTAACCAATGGAACAGAAGTTGCCTTCAGAAATCGTGGGCGCTCCATCACTGGATATTTTAAAGAAGAGACTAAAGAGTCACTTGTCTGAAATGGTATAGTCCTCCTTGAGCAGGGGGCTGGACTAGAAGACCTCCAAGGTCCCTTCCAGCTCTATTCTTTTTTTTTTTAAATTACATATCAGATTCCTTTCTGAATCGTTTTTCTAGCCATTGATAAAAATTATTCTATGTTCTAAACTAAAGTAAACTGAACTTTCTTTCTCTTTAATCTCTAAAGTCAATCTATCAATTTCTGCACACTCTAGAAATTTTTTAATTAATACTTCTTCAGTTGGTAAGTTTTCATTTTTCCAATATTGGGCAAATACAATTCCTGCTGCTGTTAATACATGTAATATTAGATATCCGCTCTCCTCGTAGTTAGCTCCTATTATTCCTAACAGAAACAATTCTGGTTTAAAGTCTATTTGTTTTTTGGTCCCTTCTATTCTATTCTATTCTATTCTATTCTATTCTATTCTATTCTATTCTATTCTATTCTATTCTATTCTCCAATATTTATTCTATTCTATTCTATTCTATTCTATTCTATTCTATTCTATTCTATTCCATTCCATTCCATTCCATTCCATTCCATATCTAAGCTAGTCTAGTTTAATGAAGAAAAGGACGAGGGGGGACATGATAACAGTGTTCCAATATCTCAGGGGCTGCCACAAAGAAGAGGGAGTCAAGCTATTCTCCAAGGCGCCTGAAAGCAGGATAAAAAGCAACGGATGGAAACTAATCAAGGAGAGAAGCAACTTAGAACTAAGGAGAAACTTCCTGACAGTTAGAACAATTAACCAATGGAACAACCTGCCTCCAGAAGCGGTGAATGCTCCAACACTGGAAGTTTTTAAGAAGAAACTGGACAGCCATTTGTCCGAAATGGTATAGGGTTTCCTGCCTGAGCAGGGGGTTGGACTAGATGACCTCCAAGGTCCCTTCCAACTTTACTATTATTATTATTATTATTATTATTATTATTATTATTATTATTATTATTATTATTATCATTAAGCTGCCCTGGCAGCTTTAAAATGTGAAGTCCATATATTAATCTTAAAGCATGTTAGCTGGGGAATTCTGGGAGTTGAAGTCCACAGATCTCAGAGCATGCTGGCTGGGGAATTCTGGGAATTGAAGTCCATATATT